ACTATTTCTATTTTTAGGTGTATTTTTTAATGCAATTTCCATTTTTACTTTTCCATAATTGGAAATTAAATGATCTAAATCCATTGATTCATGTGAAATATTTAATAAATTAAATTCATTATTTTCATCATCATTTTCTAAATTTATAGTATCAATATCTGCATGATAATGTAAATCAATTTTTTTAATTTTTAAAAAATATTTAGTTTCAAAAAAGGAATCATAATTATTACTATAATATTTTAAACATGCTGTCCAATTACCTTCTAAATTAATATTTTTAATATTATTTAATGAATTATGTTTAAAATTTTCAAAATGATCAAAATGTGTACAAGTACTATATATGGAAATATTATTATTAATTTTAGTTAAATAAATTTCAAAATTCTTCCAATGAATTGAAAATATATATTGACCAAATGTAATAAAATAAAATTCACATTTTCTATTATAATAAATTCCAAATAAATTACTTAATTCATTTTTTCTATAATTTGTTAATTTCTTTTTTTGGAAATGATAAAATTTTAATGATAATTCTTCATTTAATAAATTTAAAATTGTTTTTTGTATTAATCTATCTCTATCACCAATACTATATTTTAATTTAATAAAATCATTAACATTTTGATATTCATTATCAATTAAATGAATTCTATTTTTAATATTTCTATAAATGTATTTATATATATCTATAGATGTTTTACTATTATCATTATTATTAGAATTATTAGAATTATTATTAGAATGACTATTAGAATTATGATTAGAATTAAAAGATGAATTTAATTCTTCTTGTTGTTTAAAAATTTCATCAATATTTTCATTCGGAGTATTAGGAGTATTAGGAGTTGATGATTTACCACGTGGTGTTAAATTACCTCTTGGTGTATTGGGTGTATTGGGTGTATTACCTCCACTACTACTACTACTACCATTATTATTATTTAAATTATTATTTGAATTATTATTTAAATTATTATTATTACCATTTATAGAAGGTGATAAATCTAATTCATTTTTATTTTTAAAATGATGAAATAAAGAATGATGATTTGTTGGAATATGATTTAAATTAGCAAGTATAGATAATTGATTATTTAAAAAATCTAAATTTGTAAATTGACTAAATTTATCTAAAATTAAAGATAAACAAAAATGTTCATAATTAAATTTTAAATTAAAAAATTTAAATTGTTGAAATAATAAAATTGAATTTGTTTCTAAATGTTGAATTGGAATAAAATGAATTAAAAATTGAAATAATAAAAATGGATGTTTTAAAATAATATTAAAATATTTACATGATTCACTAATTGTTTTATAATTACTAAAATTAGAAATATCTATAAAAGTAAAAATATATAACCAATATGAAATTGATAATCCATTAAATAAAAAATTATTTTGTAAATTTGAATTTAAAATATGATTAATATTAAAATTAATTTCTAAAATATTTTTAAATTGTAAACTTCTAAAATATTGTACAATATTTATAATTAATTTAAAATCAAAATAATGTTCA